TATGGGTTTGGTATAAGTGGGACCTGGTATATGTGGCGTACCATACGGGATGTGAATGGGACGACCGCCACAAGCAGTATGGGTTTGGTATAAGTGGGATCTGGTATATGTGGCGTACCATACGGAATGTGAATGGGACGACCACCACAAGCAGTATGGGTTTGGTATAAGTGGGACCTGGTATATGTGGCGTACCATACGGAATGTGAATGGGACGACCACCACAAGCAGTATGGGTTTGGTATAAGTGGGATCTGGTATATGTGGCGTACCATACGGAATGTGAATGGGACGACCGCCACAAGCAGTATGGGTTTGGTATAAGTGGGATCTGGTATATGTGGCGTACCATACGGAATGTGAATGGGACGACCACCACAAGCAGTATGGGTTTGGTATAAGTGGGATCTGGTATATGTGGCGTACCATACGGAATGTGAATGGGACGACCGCCACAAGCAGTATGGGTTTGGTATAAGTGGGATCTGGTATATGTGGCGTACCATACGGAATGTGAATGGGACGACCGCCACAAGCAGTACTTATGTTTTTTTAATTTTTTTTTTTACAAGCTTTATATTACACATGTAGTGGAAGGGGGGGGGAGTGCACTTTTAAAAAAAGTTTTAAGGGGCATTTTATCGAACATCTGAGAAAGCCCAATTTTAAATCAAATAATATATTTTCTTTAAAAGAAAGGAAATGTTTTTTTTTTCAATTTTGGCAGATGAGGGTGATGGAATATTGCAGGTAAATTTGAGATCATAAACAAAATTTGTAAAAACAAAACAAAATAAGAACAAAGGCGTTCTATGCTTGAATAGTCTCTCAATACAGTTGATTGGCGAGGCGAAAGTGAGGGAACAATTTAATGAAGATTCCACAATCTGAAAATCCTTAAATGTGAATATATTGTATATTGAAGAGATGTGTAATGGAGGCAGTTTTGATGGTCGGTATATTGCGGATGTGTCATGTTAGAGAGCTCCATTCTTTGGGGGCACAGAAAGAAAAAGATCGTTCACCGCATGTTTTATTGCGTGTCCTGGGAACAGACAGGTTTATTAAATCTATTTTATAAATCTAGAAATATGTCTTTAAAAAAAAACCCCATTAAAAATACGATTTCCATATAGTTCACTGGCGTAAACAATAATATTTGGTTATATTATACTAGATGGAGCCCGCCAAACGTTGGCGACAGCAATGCGTGAACTTTTCATGATCTATAGTTAACATGTGCCATGCAAAAAAAAAAAAAAATGCTATTTTCTTCTCCTATGACTTTAGAAAAGAAAGTATATTATACATTTCTCCCATGACTTTAGAAAATAAAGTATATTACACATTTAGTTTTTTTTTTTTTGGACAATGATTTCTTTCATAAAATGTTTTGGAAGCAACGATTGGAAAAATATAGCTATGAAATGTGTTAAATCTTTTAATAGATTTTATTATTTTTTTTGGAAGAAAATCGGCTCAATGTATTCATTATGAATGTGTGAATAAGACATCAATTGACTCGATATAGTCATCTTTACTGTGTGTGTAAGTCATCGATTAATAATTAGTTTCATATGTTGACGTGCTAATAATACTAGCAAATGTTTTTTTTTGACAGCCGGAGTGCACCCTGTGTTGCATTAAATACAATGCGCGCCTGGTGAAATGTAGACACACTAGCTGAATTTAAAATGTAGACACACTAGCTGAATTTAAAATGTAGACACACTAGCTGAATTTAAAATGTAGACACACTAGCTGAATTTAAAATGTAGACACACTAGCTGAATTTAAAATGTAGACACACTAGCTGAATTTAAAATGTAGACACACTAGCTGAATTTAAAATGTAGACAAACTAGCTGAATTTAAAATGTAGACACACTAGCTGAATTTAAAATGTAGACACACTAGCTGAATTTAAAATGTAGACACCTAGCTGAGTTTAAAATGTAGACACACTTGCTGAATTTAAAATGTATCGACCATGGAAGTAATGCAAATGCTGTTATAAGTAATGACACAAAAAAACTGAATATACATTTAATACAATGCACATAAAAAAATTGCTACCTGAAAATGCACGCAATATTTTATTTTGATGTCTGAGTGATTAAGTAAAATAAGTTTATTGTATACAAAAAAAAAACCCCAAAACGTGAACTTTCCCTCTACTAAAGTTACTTGACAAATACGTGAACTCAAGTTACGCATATTTAAGAATGCTAACTTTGCTACCCCCCCTCCCCACCTTTTTTTCCATGATACGTCACTGCACACTTTTTTTTATTTCAAGCCGACCCGCGGCTTAGCATACGCCGCGAGCTTGTTGGAGTGTGCGTATGGGTGTATATAAATAGAGGATATCCATTTCTGAAAGCACCTTGATGATAAAAACAGAAATATTAACATACTGATTTTATTTTTTTTTAAAAACCAAACAAGGTAACATCTTATGTAGTATTTCCAAAATATACCTTTAAGGAGGTCACGAGAAATGTTCGGTACATTATTTTGAGGTTACCAATACATCAACACCGGACATTAACTTTGGATTCTAATTGATATGTTTCTATGTTTTAATGATTGGGTAAACTTGGAATCATTTAAAATCAAACGGAACATGCACTCGCACACAGCAAACAGATAGTCACGCAATATTCTCGAATGAAGATTGTTTGTCGCTATTAAGCTTTGTTTTAGTTTTTTTTCCCTTACTACACTTTAATATGATGGATGCAGCTTAAATGTTATGTTTCAATTGAATATTTAGTGACGAACTGATCACATACACTGAGCGTGAAACACACAACCCCATGTAGTTGTCCATTGTAGCAAGGGAGATTCCACTGAGATCATTTTAAAAAGGCTTCAACGCGCCATAAGCCAAAAATCTTCCCCCATATTTCGTTTTCATAAACATACTATTGTCTTTTATGAACGACCCCCGGGGGGCCATCGTGCGTACCAAGACCCTCTAAGACGCATCGCCGGGAAGATTCTAATGTAATCGGGTAGCTTACTTTGTAGAGCCAAAGACAGTACTTTTGACTTATCAGTTGTGGATAAGAAGGTTAATGTTGTTTTTTTTTTCAGGCATAACTAGCACGCATAAGCGTAATGGGACATGAAGAAACGTTCTTAGGACAAGTTTTTGTTAACACAGTGATGAGTCGCGGGATTTTTCTGAAATCACTGAAGTAATTTCAAAACCATACTTTGATTTCTTTAAACGCTCCTGAACTATAATACGGACAAGGGAATTTACTGTGATCTCAGAAATGTGTATAGCTTTAAAGTTTACTGTGATGTCAGATGTAACGGAAGCACAATCACATTCACGGTCAGGTCAGACCAAAAAAGTTAAAATGTTTTGTTCACTCTGTTTTCAGATGCTAATGTTAAATTCCCTGTGAGGTCAGACAAGTTTATCAAAATTTAAAATAAACCTGTAGTCGTTTCTGCTGGATCAACTGTTGCAGTTGGTTTGAAGTATGGCTTCGATCTCAAACGCAACTGCACTTGTCATCATCTTTGTCCACATGTGCTTTTGCGTACCTAAGACTGTGTTACTCGACGTACAAAAAAGACGCACCACGAATGCCCAGGAGGACAAGCATACAGAAATCAGGGATGGAGAAGAAATTTGGTCCTTCAATAAAAAGAAACTTATACATCGATTTGATGATGTAAAAGAAGGATATCTTACCTTAGAACCTCTCTCGGAGATGCGACAAAAGAAGGAGGACACAAAGAGTGTTCCTTTTCCTATGGAAGTATCACCGTGTTCAACGACTTACTACCACAAAGAAGTATTACAGGACTGTTCCTACAAGGGAATAAGCTTTGTGAATTCTTTATGGTTCGAATCAAATGCAACAAGTCTTGTTCTGGATCATAATGTAATTTCTATCTTAACGAATGGAACATTCTCGAAACTTCATCGTCTTCTTACCTTAAGCATATCAAACAATAAGCTGGACAGCCTTGAAGATGACGCATTTCTGGGGTTGGAGACTTTGGAAGTTATAAATTTAGAATACAATAACCTCATTCCCCAAAAAAGTTTTTCGCTGAATATCTTCTCATCACTACTGAATCTAAAATCTCTCATGCTCGTCCAGGATCAAAGTTTTCGAAACGCAAGATATCCCGACTTGAGGCGCTTGGCCAATCTGACCACTCTCTCGCTTGACACTGTTGATCAGGTGGTCTCATTTGGTGAGGAGTTTAAAGAGTTAAAACTTATTTCCAGCTTAACGCTGTCTGGCTCTGCCAAAGATATCAGCAATCAGAGTTTTGTCAATTTTCCCCATCTTAAAGAAATGCGACTGATAAATCTACAAGATTTGTCAGAAATAGACACACAAGCCTTTATTCACCTAAGACATTTGAACAGGCTTGAGATAAACACAAGCCCCATCGGAGTGAAGATGGCGATGCGTGCTTTAGAACCTCTCCAGAAGACAACCATGACAGAGATCGTTTTTAGGAAACTTTTGTTTACCATTCAGAACAAATCTCCGAGTCTGATGAGTCAAGATGGAATTCTAGATAGAAAGAAAACAAAGCATTTACTTGAAATCTGTGTCAGTGAATTTAGCTTAACACATTCTAATATTTACGTCATAACTTTTGACGCTTTGGTGAGTGAAACCTGGCACATGTGCCTGAAGTTCATTGATTTGTCGGACAATCCTTTGACGGGAACACTAATGGCATTGGCGAGGGCATTGACCATGAGGAATTTACAGGTGCTACTCGTCCGGGAATGTAACAAACCGTGGACGAGTACAAGCCTTATTCCGGACAAGTTAACGCGAGTGGAAAGAGAATTACAATCAAACGTGTACAGAAGTGGAAACTTTAACACACATAACAACGAGGCTGTGGACAAGAGAGTTAAAAACTACAGACTTAACAATACAGGATATATTTTTTATATCTCAGAATCTTTGCACTATATTGACTTCAGAAACTGCTTTGGCAGGAGTCCTTTGGACAAGTCAGCAACAATTCTTGGTGCGCAAAACTTGGTTTACCTGGATATATCACACGATGGATATGAAATATTTACAGGAACAATTAAGGGATGGACTGGATTGAAAAAAGTTATTCTTTCAGGAAATGAACTGGGAAATCTGTCTTCAACATTTTTTGATACCTTCCCAAGCCTGGAGTATTTAGACATTTCTGAAACGAACCTAAATTCAGATTTCATCAGTGTCAATAGCGAAAGGCTGTTTGAGAAGCTTTCAAACCTTAAGAAATTGAGTCTGGAGAAAAACTCCTTGTCGTTACTGTCACCAAACACCTTCTCAACTAACCGCAACATCATCCATCTTATTCTTTCCGGGAACCGTTTCAATCGCGTGCCTTTCAACCTCAAAAACACACCCGAACTTCAAGTTCTTGACCTCCAAAACAACGCCATAGTCTCCCTTGACAGGGAGACGATGGACAACCTCGACCTTTTGGCAGCAAATTTAGGCGGCTTTCAGCTCATGCTGGGCGGAAACATTATGTTGTGCCTATGCGAAAACTTTCCTTTTCTTTACTGGCTGGCGCACACAAGCGTTACTCTTGACCGTGGCGGGAATTTCAGCTGTTTGGATAATGATGGGGTTTTGTCCTCTACCTCGGTGTTTGTAGATGCCGTAGCCATGTGGCGACAGTGTTCGGGTCAATTCTATTTCAACGTGTCCATTTTCCTCCTCTGCACAATGATCATCGGATTTTTGACCACATTGGTCATCACCAGAAACAAAACTCTCATCCTCTCAAGCTTGCTCCAGATGTTCACCAAATTCAAGGTTCTCAAATCAAAAGATTACAAGATCGGGGTGTTCATAGGATACGCTGACCGCGATTACGTTTTCGCGTGTACAGAGTTGCGACAATATATTGAGACCACACTGGGATTGACCACTTACCTCCAAGACCGTGACCTCTTGCCGACGCTTGATATGGCACAAGGGATCGCTGAGGCCATCAACCTCAGTTGGAGGATCCTTCTAGTGGTCAACAGCCATTTTCTCAACGATGACCACTGGTCATTATTTACCATGAAATCGGCTATTTACGCCCTGACCCCAGCCAATCCTGACCGTGTAGTTGTTCTGGTAGACGAGCAATTACTGTCGAAACTACCCGGAGACCTGCTGAGCTCTGTCCCCGACGACAACATCATTCCTGTGTCCAGTTGGCATATGACCTATAGACTGAGAGAAATGCTAAGAACACGGCTCCTATAAGTGTTCACTATAAATGTTATCATTTGTTTAAAATCTAGAACAAACTTCTGTGCATTTTTAGAGTAGAAATAAAACCTCATATATTATCGGTAGCAAGCTTTCAACTTTCTTTTGACTAAAGTTAACTGACAAAACATACATATAACTTATATTATAAGCAACCTATTTATTTTTTTTTAGAAATCCAAATTATTCCATAATTCTGCGAATTGAATTTTGCGAGTTTACTGAGCACAACGTTACAGGCCAATCTTCTTCGTACCTAGATACTAATTATGGGTGATTAATTTTTAAAACTATATTTTTTCCCCTTTTAATTGGTATTTATTTCTTGTGTGCAATTCCAAAGACAGGGGTTCTCAATTTTTTCGGTAAGTTTTCCGGTCTTATTTTTTTATTGAAAGGAAAATGTAGTTTTTCTTGTCCAAAAATTTTTTTTCAAGGCAATTGATTTGGGAGACCGTCACCGGGGTAAGGATATAAAATGAACGACTTCGCAGATCCGTTCTTTTTTTTTTTACATATACATTTTATTGAGGCAAATGTGCGGGTCCTGAACACTTTGGTTTCATAGCTATCGTGTTTGTTTGTTTTTTTGTGTGGTATTTTCATTTTTTAAATTACTGTATATTTGAACGTTGCCAAAAAGGGGCTGTTGATTTTAAAATTAAAATCTGTGTTTAATCTATTTTCTTTTTAAAAAAAAGTTACTTGAATTTAAAATGAGGACGAAGGATGTCGGCCGGTCAATGGTCAAAACATCCTTCAGTCAGTTGTCACTCGGTGGTCAAACATCCTTCAGTCAGTTGTCACTCGGTGGTCAAACATCCTTCAGTCAGTTGTCACTCGGTGGTCAAATTATCCTTCAGTCAGTTGTCACTCGGTGGTCAAACATCCTTCAGTCAGTTGTCACTCGGTGGTCAAACATCCTTCAGTCAGTTGTCACTCGGTGGTCAAACGTCCTTCAGTCAGTCGTCACTCAGTGGTCAAACATCCTTCAGTCAGTTGTCACTCGGTGGTCAAATTATCCTTCAGTCAGTTGTCACTCGGTGGTCAAACATCCTTCAGTCACTTGTCACTCGGTGGTCAAACATCCTTCAGTCAGTTGTCACTCGGTGGTCAAACGTCCTTCAGTCAGTTGTCACTCGGTGGTCAAACATCCTTCAGTCAGTTGTCACTCAGTGGTCAAACATCCTTCAGTCAGTTGTCACTCGGTGGTCAAAACATCCTTCAGTCAGTTGTCACTCGGTGGTCAAACATCCTTCAGTCAGTTGTCACTCGGTGGTCAAACATCCTTCAGTCAGTTGTCACTCGGTGGTCAAACATCCTTCAGTCAGGCGTCAGTTAGTTATCAGTCAGTTGTCGGTCAGTCTTGCCCTAAAGCTGTCTAGACTTTTGGTTCGTGAAAGGCTATAAGATTAAAAGCGTTCAAACACAACAGACCAATAAAATGTCCGGTGCGCGTAACAACAGTAGGTTTGAGAAGAACCTGGCTTCAGGTCGACTCTTGGTTCGATTATCTCTACATCAGACGATTTTACTATGTTACTGGTTTTCTATGATTATTATATTTACTTTCTATATATCGACACCGCGAGATTTGTATTATTCCCCCACCCCCCCCCCAAACCCCCCATGTCTTTATATTTTTGCGTAATGCATTTTAAGAAATAGTAAATTATTTTCTATTTTTATTTGCGTTTTAAACTGATATGTGACAGAAAGTTTTTTAAACAAAAAAAAAAGAAGCTTTTTAAATATATATTATATATATATTTTAAATTTAAAATTTCAGCGTGTGTGGGCGGGCTGAAATTGTGAACATAGACTTAAGAAAGCGTAACTACAATAATCACCCATTTATCGCTCTTAAACAGGCTGGTAGTTCAGGTGCTGTTTGATGCCTGTGTGAGAGACGTAGGCCTTGAAATGTTGCTTGGGTTTTTTTTTTTGGGGGGGGGGGTGGGTCATAAGGGATGGTATGAAGAGGGCGGGCGTAGATATTAAAAGTATTACCAGGAATTTTCTTCTAGATTACTCACCGTCATCGCATTAACCAGACATTCATAAAGTATTCTTCATTTGTATGAATTATACTTCAAAGAAGATTGAGTGAATGACAGCAGAAAGAATTATAACTTGAGAAATCAATAAATGAGATTTATTATGGCGTTAAATTGAAATACGCAATAGTTTAGTTTCAATAACCATTGTCCTATAATTTAAAAAAAAAAGCAGCATAAAAATCCTCTAGCAAAAGACAAATGCAATCAAACCAAAATAAGTTTGTGAGTTTGAAGTAAGGGTACGGACTGGGTGCAATCGGTACAGAAAATATCAGTAATAAAACAATACAAAACATTATTTAAAAACAACCACCAAACACACATACACACACGCTTATCCACACAAAAAAATGTATAGAAAAGTATAAAATACCCCCCCCCCCCAAGCAATACGTCACCAATACAAAGCACATAACAGCAGCGACACAATTAGCCTCCACGCCAAAGCACGCAACGGTTGAACAAATCACATGTCATTCATCCTTGGGGATTCGCGGATGGGAATGGGGCTGAAAACTTGATGGAATGTCTTGTCATCGCCCGTGTGGCAAGTTTCAGCTCGATAGGATGACGGGAAGTGGGTCAATCAGCTGTCAGAAAATTTTGACTTTAAATAAGGACGAACAAAAGCGAAATTAATATACACGGCTTTAAAAACTGAGATTGCTTCGCAAAATATTGTAATCATTCAATATAATTCTCTATGCACGAAAGATGGTAATGGTGTAATGGTGAGTTCAATAGTGTGAACAATAAAATTCCAGATAACAGAGAGATTTTAACAGAGATCCTTAAAAATACCCCGATTGCGTTTTAGTCCGTAATATTTTCCTTTGTTTTACGGATATAGTCTGAAATTAAATATGATGTTAAAAGTTAGATATCTGGAGCAGTGGCGTAGCTAGGGGAGAGGGAGGGAGGTCCAAATTCAAAAGTCCCCCCCCCCGGGCCCCTACTTGAGGGGGGCCCCCAAAGGCGTGTCCGAAATTTTTTAAAACATTTACATAATGTCAAATGTCAAAATACAGGGGCCCCTAAAGAGGCCAAGCTTCCCGGGCCCCAAATTCCCCCCAAATCCTTAGCTACGCCACTGATCTGGAGTAAAAGGGGTGAGATATTAGACTATTCATATAGTTGAGGGGCGTGAAATAAGTGTGCGTTTGCGTACCTGTGGGGGGGGGGGAAGGGGATAGGGGTAGCTGGCACTAATTGGGATTCTAATAAAACGGTACATGAATGCATGTTTTGTCAAGTAATTTCAGGAGATGGGAAGTTCACGCATCGCCTCCGCCAATGTTTGGCTGGCTTCATCTAGTAATAGTTCTTTCTCAAAAATATATTTAACAAAAAAAACAACAACAACAAAAAACAAAACAAAAGACCAGCAGTAATTTGAATACAGTGAACGCAGCACGCATCTATGCCACTGGCCAAAGTAAGAACAAACATGAGAAAGATAAATTACAAACTCTATAAACATGGAAGTTATATTTTATCCCTTTTATCCAGCTCAATCCGGTTCATTTGGGAGGTTAACTGGCGCAGCTACAGTGTTGTTATCTTGTTGCTTTTTTTCTTCTTTTTTTTTCTTCTTGTTTTTAAGAAATATTTGAAATAGATAACAGAGGACAGGGACCTTCGTTGTTTTTATGGTTCGTTTGTTGAGTGAAATCTTAAAGTGTATCTTTGTGAGGGGAAAAGCGGGGCGAAATTTATAAGGTCCATGAACCACTTGGTTATTTATTCACCAACTGGTTAGTTAATGGGTACAGGCAACAACTGGTTAGTTAATGGGTACATGCAACAACTGGTTAGTTAATGGGTACATGCAACAACTGGTTAGTTAATGGGTACATGCAACAACTGGTTAGTTAATGGGTACAGGCAACAACTGGTTAGTTAATGGGTACATGCAACAACTGGTTAGTTAATGGGTACATGCAACAACTGGTTAGTTAATGGGTACATGCAACAACTGGTTAGTTAATGGGTACAGGCAACAACTGGTTAGTTAATGGGTACATGCAACAACTGGTTAGTTAATGGGTACATGCAACAACTGGTTAGTTAATGGGTACATGCAACAACTGGTTAGTTAATGGGTACAGGCAACAACTGGTTAGTTAATGGGTACATGCAACAACTGGTTAGTTAATGGGTACATGCAACAACTGGTTAGTTAATGGGTACAGGCAACAACTGGTTAGTTAATGGGTACAGGCAACAACTGGTTAGTTAATGGGTACAGGCAACAACTGGTTAGTTAATGGGTACAGGCAACAACTGGTTAGTTAATGGATACATGCAACAACTAGTTATTTATTTACGATGTTCCCCTGCCCCCCCCTCTGCCCCCACCCGCCAAAACAGCGACGAGTTCCGGATATTTTGTTGAACCGTCTCAGAGATTAGATGCGTTGAAAAAAGTGGGGCAAGTTTTTTGGTTTCTTTTTAAATAAGACCTTATCACCCCCCTCCCTCCACAACGTTAGCCACGTACTACCCTAACCACAACACAAAACAACCAGAACAACAACAAAAAACCCCACCAACAACAACAACAACAACAACAACAACAACAACATCAACAACATCAGCAACAACAACATCAACAACAACAACAACATCAACAACATCAACAACAACAATATCAACAACAACATCAACAACAACAACAACATCAACAACAACAACAACATCAACAACATCAACAACAACAACAACAACATCAACAAGAAACACAAACCCCCCCCCACCCAAAAAAAAAAAAAAAAAAAAA